CTTGGAGGCTTCAATGCCACAAGCCCACCGACACAGCGATCGTCGTGATGTCAAAGATGGTTGAGACGAGTTGACCCCCTATTTAGAGAAGGAGCACTGAGCTGAGCACTGTTATTATATAATTGTCTGCTATTCAACAAAATCAGAAAAATGTGATTTTTCATGAAGAAATCGGACCTGAGCGTCGGACATCCCGCACAATTTTGTTGTCAACTTGTTGACACGTTCTCACATCGAGGACACACAAATTCGGGCACGATCGCCCGATGGTGCTCAGCACCTCGGCAACGCCAGAGGTCAATCACTCACCACCCGCTGGGCCCATCTGAGCCCTAGAAATCCAGGAAAATCAAAAGAATGAAAAAGAATTAAAGAAATGATTAACAAATAAATGAATGAATAAATACAGTAAATAAGTAATAGTAGACTGACGAAAAGGTACGATTTTTGTCTGAGAATGAAAAACATATAATTACAGTAAAACAACACACAGTGCATGAAAACCTAGTGCTTGGGTCGCAACACATCTCCGGAGTTGAGAAGCACCTTCAAGACCCAATTTGTGAGTCTCTGTCGTCAAAGCATACGGCAGGACCTGTGCGGTTCATGGCAAAACAGCACAAGCCTTCAAGAGAATTCATAGCTCTGCGCACGTTGTCGTTCAGGGCGTTCTTTGCAACAAGAATATACAGCAGCTCCTTCAATTCTCTGAATATGGTCATTGCGATTGGTTCCTGTTGAAGGATTGACTTCTTGTCTTGGGCAAAGCTTGTGTGGGGGGAGTTTCCCTGGACATGACCTTGCGTTGTCCTCCAAGGCTTTTCTCGGTAGTGCTGATAAAGTCGCGTAGCGAACCTCAGCTGGCGCTGCCCAGGAAAGGGACTTGCCAACTTTGCCACCTTGGCATGAAACCCTCTTGGGGCCATATTTGATCAGGTTCTGCGCAAGCTTCTGGACCTTGCAAACACTTGCTAGAAATCACTGCACGGTACCTACAATCCGGCAACGATGGACAGTCACTGGACGGCACCACCACGCAAACCATAAGGCAAGTGCACAGAGGTGCAGAAGGGAAAGAGGCTCATGCGGTTTCGCACTTTGCATAGAGTGGTCAACCTGAGCTGACAAGAGTCTGACCTTTGAACATCACAGGGTTGAGCTGAGAGAAAGTCGCTAGATATTTTTGTGGTTCAGCTTGCCGCCCGCGATCCACCGGCAACCTGAAACGACACAACAAAGCTGCTGGCAAACTATACTAAGCCCTAGGCACTGACAAATACAGGTGCCTTGTTTCCCAAGGCATTGCAAACCGCCTACAGCACGGTCATGGCACGAAAACCGGCCTCAACGCGTACAAGCCAATTGGCAACAGGCCAAACACTCCTTGCGCAACTGGTCTCGAGTCTAGATACAATAGGTCTTGAAAAGCCTGGGCAAACGGGTTGTGCTGTGCTGGTTGGTACAACAACTCATGGTTTGTCATCTCTGGGTCATGTTTTCCGCTTCTTGAGCCAAGGGCCGAAAAGCACAAATCAAGTCGTGACCCCCAAGGACCGATCATCCTAACTCCTGAGTGGATCCTGATCCGTGTTTCATCTGGATTCGTAAAGCCTTCTCCCCTAACTCCTGGGTGGATTCGCGGGCGACTTGATGATGGAAGATGACGCCTTGTAATGTTTGCTTGCTTGCTTGCTTGCTTGCTTGTTTGTTTGTTTGTGTTTGCATCGCTGCCCTAAAGGTTCCAAGACCCAAGCTGACTACACGGTTTGTGCCTTAGCGGCAAGTTTTTTGAGCAAATGATCCTCACAGCCCTCCCATGAAGAAATCAAGTATATACATGGGCATGGGCAAGGAGGGTGCAAGGAAAGCCAGCCACAGTGGCCTTGAAAGTGGAGAGAGCCCGGCCAACGTTGTGTGAGGCATGCAACTGGGAAAACTCTAAGTCACCCTTGTGCTTTTTGAGTTAAGGGCTACAGTATACAGTTTAGCGCCATACTTTACATACCCTTTTCGCACCCGCCTTGAAGGCTCGCCCTGAGACATTTGTTTGACATTTTATGCGTATTGGGCTCTGGGGCTTCATTAAAGTTATACCTGTTCTGTACATGGATCGGAGTTCTTCTCTTCTCGGTTTACACTCTCCATATCCACTTTTCGAGTGGGTTTGCCTCGCAGTTGTGGTTCAAGGATGCATAGACTTTCTCTCGCTGCTTGCTGGTCTCTTGTCTACATGCTGTGGGCTTGCAAGACTCTTCTGGCTTGATGCTGACTGCCATGATTGTTGGCCAAAAAGGAGACTTCTACGCACCAGAATGACCAACGCAGCGGCTGTGAGAACACTCGATTGACAACCTATGTCTAGGCAAATTCATGAAACTCATGGAGCGTGTTGACGTCCCAAAACCGATCAGGGTCTTGAGCGATCCAATAGCAAGCAATCTCTGTCCAAGCACAGGTGGCCACGTCAAGAAGGTCGTTCAACCAACACGGGTCACAAGAAAAAAGCAACCAAAAAAGCAGGCCACCCGAAGCGATCCTTGTCTGTTGCATCCTTGGCAGGGTCGGATGCGCCGAGTCCCAAGTGTGTTTCGTGGGTAACGCCTGCGCCTTGCCGCAACTTGTATGTCCGTTCACTAAGAAGCTCAAGTGGCTGAATTTTGCACGTTGATGGTTTTTCAGCGGGCTCCTCCTTGGGTTGTTATAGTGCAATGACCGACCTTTTTCCGGTTTCGGTTTCTCTGAGAGACAGCAGAGCCGATGCGGGCAGTGACTGGTGATGTGGTCTTAGTCCTCCAGTGATGAAGAGAGGCTGGGGTCCCACAGAAGTTTTTTGAAGTGTATCACTACCAGTGCGCAATGCTTGGGTAGAGCATGGCAAAATTGAGAGAATAAGTGCTGCCAAGCGGAAAAAAGCTGGCGCCCAACCCGTCTTTGTTGGAAGGCTGCTGCTACAGGAGGCAGTGTCCCCGCACAGCCGTGTCCTTCTGCAATTTTGTTTGGCAAAGGCGACGTAGCAACAGTGTAGCTGCCCTCTTCGCTGTGAGCCCTGACAGGAGGTAGCTGGTTTTCTGCCTCTTCAACTTTTTGAGCTGTAGCGAAGTCACTTGCGCCTACCCTCCAATATTTTGAGTGGAGGAGTACTGTATATAGGTTCCGTTAAAGAATTGGAAGTGTAGCAAAGGAGTAGCTGTGAGTAGTTGCTGCCTTTTGCAGTGATTGAGTAAACTCGAGGTTATGAATGGTTTTTTCCTTTGCAGAAGTTATCGATTACAAACATGTCGCTTCAAAATCTTTAGCAATAGCATAGTGCACTCTGCAGACTGCTGCCTTTTATACATCCTGGAGACCCAAATGGGCGTTTCCTTTTGTCAACCGGTTTTGCCCCACGCCTGCCAAGCAGTCGAACAAAAGTCACAAATATATTTAACGCACAAATTTCAAAACTCAAAATTTGATAGGCCCCCCTCTGAAAAAGGCACTGCATGTGCACTGTCTCTGTCAAGGGGGGGATGCACTGCCCCTGTTGAGCGACCACAGGCATAATTGCACATGACTGTTGGGCTGAAACCGGGAACTTGCACTCTCTCTCTCAGACACCCTCCAAAAGTGCTTCTCAACAACCCTCCGCACATCCCCCCCTTGAGATGCAGTGTCTCTCTCAAGGGGCCTCCTAAGTGAAGCCAAATCTAATTATAAAAGCAAAAGGGAAGACCTTTTCACTGAGCTGCGTGCGCGCGCGCCCAGGGGTGTATCGCGCGCGCTCAGGGGTGTATCGCGTGCGCCTTGCCTGATGTCAACAATGGGAGGATGCAATGTGCGTGTGCCAAAACCAGCGCGCACGATACACAGATGGACGCGCACGATCGCACGGAATCAAGCGCGCACGATGCACAGGTGGACGCACACGATCGCACAGAATCAAGCGCGCGCGATACACAGGTAGACGCACACGATCGCACAGAATCAAGCGCGCACGATACACAGGTGGACGTGCACTATCGCACAGAATCAACCGCGCACGATGCAACACAAAATGCTGAAGACATGTTAAACCAGTCACCTCCTGGCAGGGCTCACAGCGAATAGGGCAGCTACACTGTTGTTACGTCACCTTTCCCAAAAAAAAACTTCCAAAAAGACACTAAAATTGCACTCAAACATTCGCAGAAAAATAGTTCCTAAAACCCGAAGCATGGCAGAAAAGAACCGGCAGATGTTCTAGGAAAATCGTCCCTCCTAAAACGCGACGCCTGGCAAACACAAACGGGCAGGCTTTCTAGAAAAATAGCGCCTCCTAAAACTCGAAGCCTGGCAGAAAATGGCCGGCAGGCTTTCTAGGAAAAATGCCAGCGCCAGCAATAGTAACACATAATAATTAGCCAACAAAAACATCCAATGAAAAACATGATTGAAAAAACAAACCACCAAACATATCATGAAAGATATTTTTTGTTTACAAAAATTTCCAACAACAAAACACCTCCAGGCTAACTTATTTGTAAGTTCCGGCTTAGTTCGTTTTAGCCAAAACTTAAGCCTCTTATAAATTCATGGAAAACGCATCACAAGTTGCAAGCAGTTTCTAAAGCGACAAAAAATTCTAAATGTTGTTGTTGCTGCTGCTGGTCTTGTTCTATAGCGCTTGTACAGCACCATCTCTATTGGCCTAACAGCGCTTGCGCAGCACCTCCTGTTGCTGCTCATGGCGCTTGCGCAGCACCTCCCGTAGTTGTCCATGACGCGTCTGCAACACAATTTTAGAAAGCACCTGCGCAGCACCTAAAGATATGTCAAAATAAACATTCAAAACTCACACCTTGGGAAATCATGTACACAGTTTTGGTTCTTAAACCAAACCAAACACCACATGCACCTCTGGCATAACTTACCAAACTTCAAAACCGATCATGTTTGCAAAGCCCAAAACCCAAAGCACAAAAGCACATTACAAAGCACAGCCCAGGAAGGGTCAAACTGCTTGCACAATCGCCTCCAAGCTTCTAAGCCTTTACTCTTGCCTGCGCTTCTGACGAGCATGAATTCCTCTTTTTAGAGAGGGTTTGGAGGACAGCGTAAAGTTGTGCATCTTTTGATTCCAGGTCTGGTATTGTCTCCTGTGCCGGAGTAGTCTCACCAAACTCGGCATTCATGGATGCGCTGATTGGACCCGTTTCAACAAAGGCTTCCAACCGGATCTTCCATTGGAGGAAATCCGAACTGCCATCAAAGTTGCTTGGCTTTGCCAAACCGCGGTCGTCTACCAGAGTCAACTTCTTATCTGGCTTCTTGGACGCTTCCAGGATGGCCTTCTGCGCGTTGACCATCTCCTGCAAAGCTGCCTGCATAGCCCCTGTACTCTGGGCCGCCTGAAGCCTATTGTTCAAGTCCTCCTCTCCCCTTCGACTCTCATTCAACTCCTGCCTCAAGGTCACAACCTGGGCTGCGACCTGCTCGAGGGTGGCCATCACTGGTCAGCTGCTCCCGGTCGAGTCAACCGAGAATTCAACAGCCGTTGCCTCAGTGCCTGACTCTGGATCAGGTCTTGAAGATGATGTCCCAGGTGTCCGAAGATGCATTGAAGCCTCCGGATCCTGAACAGCCGGTTAATCAACCGGCGCCACAACCTCAGTACCCTCGATGCAATGCGATCCCTTCGTTGGCAGATACGAGTCCGAAGGGTGTCCCAAAGGGTGAACATCTACCGGAGTCGCACCGAGCGCTCCGCTACCATGAACAGAAAGTAGCAACGCTCCTATTTATCATGAGCCAAAAGTAGTCCATATACCGCTCATGTTTATGAGGGTCTGTGTCCCAAATCAGTCATCCACAGGATGTCATAAATTCATATGTCATTGGTGTCTTTTCTGACGCTAAAATAGCAGTATGGCAACAGCACGGCCTTTTGCTCCTTCACATCTCTGCATCATCCTTCATCTCCCCAGGTTGAATCCAAACTTGGCTGTCCTCCCAAATTGCAAGTCCAAAGCATGTACTCTAACTGTACCATGTACCGCACATAAATTGCTCAATTGGCCCCCATCCTTCATGTTGAGAACAAGTCTGTCGACCTTGTCAGAAGTTTGAAACGGTTGCTTACAACAGGATGAAAATACGATTGGCCTGGAACAGCAAGTCTTGACCTCAAAAACCATGCCAAAGATTGAAAAATGCAAAAAGCTTAGCACCGCCAACAATTACGTTGACTGTCTGGCCGACAACTTTGCATGTCCCCAGTGCAACTGGAGCACAGAATTGACAAACTCAGCACATCTAACGAAACCGGCTAAGGCCAATGGCCGATGATTGCTGCAGCTCCTGTGAAAGGTCCAATCGTCGAATCAGCAAGAACCTGGAGTCATTGGACTCAGAGCTCTTGAGCACAAGACTCTTTGCTCCATAAGTGTGTTGAGGTGGCCGCTGAAAGGGTCAACGGGTTGCCAATGGCCACCTGCAACAAAAGCAACGTGGACCAGTGGAGCATCCCCAAGCAAGTGCATTTATGGGAAATCTAGGAAAGCAAGTGCATCCTACCCAACCAATGTGTGTTACAAGTGTTGCAGGGTTTGTTTCTTCGCATCTCTATTTCCTAGCGACTGATGTGATGCAGCACTGCTACGACTAAGATGCGGAGCAAACCTTTCTTCTGACTAAATGTCCATGTGGAGGCGAGTGACTGGATAAGACTTTAATGACCATAAGCAAAAGTATTTGAGCAGCAACTGCAAATGATGAGCGCTGTCAGGAATCGGGATACAATGCTGAAAGAACATGCTCCCTTATTAAGCGCACAATATGTGTCACAAGTTCCCTCTGAGAAAGGCTTCGCCAAAGCACTCTACAAAGCACTCCTGCCTTTGCAGCTTTCTGTCTGGCTGGTGCGACTCTTCATTATACAGCCCGGCCCACAGCTGCATTTCAAGCGAGAAAACCCGGATCATGACCCTCATGCAAACGTTGATATTCTGAGCATCAAGCATTCACCGCACCAAACTCGACACATTCATCTCCACCAGACAGGTCCTGGACGCAAGAGTCCAGCAAAGTTCTGATAAAGAAAATGTTTCAGTGCTGCACCCTGTGTCATGTGCAAAGCTAGCTTTGCCTTTGTACACAGAACCAGAAAGAGATACAGTAACCGCAGCAACGCTGCGCGTCCTCAAAGTACCATCCTTCAGGGTTGCTCGCAGGCTAAGCGTTCAAGTGAGGAATTCCGTGGAAGTTTTGCTTGGAAGAGCTGAGGGCCAGGAAGGAACTGTGCTTGTCATACGACGCAATGCAACAATTTCCAGAAAGAAAGGTTCTGCAAACAAAAACTTCTTCTAACAGGGAGGACAAAACTCACGCGCTGGCATGCCTTTGCCACCTCCAGATTCAAATTCTTCCTCAGTTGTTTCAAGCAAACAGGCCATACCGACCAAACCCACGCCTTTCAATTGGCAAGTTGGAACACGAGTTGTTGAGTTGTTGCTATTCGCTGCATTCACCGCACTCTGCGTAGGAAGAGGAGACAGTCATGAAAGGGGAATCAGCATATGCAAAGAACTTATTTTTCTCTGGCAAATCCATGAGAAATAGGGAACTGTGGAAAAATGTGAACCTGGTCTTCCGTCAAGACAGGCATCTGGCGTTCTGCATGTGGGATATATAGCAGCAAGCACTACGAGTACTGTAAGCCTTTGGGCATTGGCCTTTCTCAGGGCCTAGGTTGAACATTGCTTCGTTCTGTACTGACCAAGCCTTTAGGAGGCCGCAACCACGCTTTGATGCTGAGCTGCAAACTTCCAAGTGGTTTGGTGGGGCCATCAAAAGCTTGCTATATAATGTTGGTTTCACTCCAATTGTCAGGCTCATATGTTTAGTCACATTGACAACCGAGGCTGTCGGACTACAGGCCTAAGCATCAAAGCATTAGGCTGTGTCGTCGATCAATGGAACTGAACTAGTGCAAAAAGCCAGGCAATCAATGACTTGCAGTGAATCAACATTGATGTCTGATATCAGTATTCAAAGAAGCATTGACGTAAAGTAAACAGGAGCCAGTTGTGTCTTGAATTGCTGTACTGACCTGAGTGTCCAGCTTTGCTCACAGAATTCACCATCGGCTTTACCTCTGTGCAAATCAGAGAATTGCACCCATGGGCCATGGGTGTTTTGACCAAAAAAAAGATATCAAATGCGAGTAAGTTGCTCCTTCAGGAGCACTGCACAGGCTCAGGCGAACCAAGGTCACGGGCATTTCCTGCAGTTCAGCAATGTATTCGCGGTGAATCACGCTTAGCTCTGCAGAAAGACCTCTGCACTTCCATCTGCTGAAGCTGCCAAGACCTACAAAGCTGTGTCCACACTCGACCAGGAGTGGAGACCATGGAAAGGGATTGCAACTCATTGAAACCAAAAATGTCGGGCCTTTGTTCAGCGCAAGATTGAAAATGACATGTACGTATCCCAAAAAATCCAAAGACTCTTGATTGATCTTGATTGGTTCATAGTTTACTCACAACCTTCACCTGATGACCACAAATCTGGGTGGAAAAAAACTCAGCTTCTGTGGAACCACATGCGCAGCTCAGAATGTCATTCCAAGCTCCAGCGGAGGGGGAAGCCCGTTGGCCACATCTTGATGAAAACAAACAGGGTTGACCATGCTCTACTTTGAGAGAGTTGACTTCGACAGAAAACACAATGGCTGAAGTATCACTTAGTCTGACGGTTCTAGAGTTTTTTGCTGTCAAGACCGGGTAGCCTGAGTTCCAAGGTCGAATGCACAAATCGAAACATTGAGAAGAATATGTCAAACTTGCCTGACCCTTTCCTAAAGCGAAAAGTGTTTCGCGCAAACAAAGCGGTCAGCCTTGGGGATACTATTGGCAACAAGAGTATGCAAAAAAGTGTTGCCCTCTGACTAGTTCACAACCCCTGCAGAGCTGACGCAGTTCAAACCTCTGCACACACAATCGCCAGAACTTTCATTGATGAGGGACAGAACCTCCCAATCCATGATTATGCATGAGATGCCAACAAACGATTTTACTCACCCAAAATTCTAAGAAATGCAGCTAAAGCAGTCAAACTGTTGATGGACAAAATCCTGCACCACTTTGCGCACACTTTTCTTGCTGCCCTCGTTCTCCCAAACAAACATTGGGGGCCACCAGAGTGAGAAAACAAAAACAAGTTGAAGGTCCAAAATCCTAGAGGGGTCGCGCCAACATTGGGGCCACCAGAGTGAGAATACGAAAACAAGTTGAAGGTCCAAAATCCTGCACCACCTCCTCAGCGGGGTCGCGCCAACATTGGGGCCACCAGAATGAGAAAACAAAAACAAGTTGAAGGTCCAAAATCCTGCACCACCTCCTCAGAGGGGTCGCGCCAACATTGGGGCCACCAGAGTGAAAAAACAAAAACAAGTTGAAGGTTCAAAATCCTGCACCACCTCCTCAGAGGGGTCGCGCCAACATTGAATGAGGGGGCACGGGGGTTGCTATGCGACCCTTCCAAGGTAAAGTGGTGAGGTGGTGCAGGATTTTGTCCATCAACAGCACCCGACACAGGGTTGCGCCAAGCAAACAGCGGTTATAGAAGAAGAGTTGCAGCGTCAGTAACAAGAGCCAAAGAAGGACACAAGGGGTGGGGGACAGCACACAGAGTAGAGCGCCATCATGACCTGGAGCGACCATGGCTTTGACTCCTGCGCACACAACGCAGCCGGGGACTACCTGGCAACACAGTGCTCCACAGTGCCCGGACACTGCTCCAACAGTGCTCCAGACAGTACCCGCGCACCAAAACCCTGTAAATACTGTGGGTATGGCCACAGGAGTGGGAAAGGAATCAATAAAAAGCCTAGAATTCTAAATTGCTATCGTTTTGCACTGCTACTGCCCGAATCGCTCGTATTTTCCATGTTTTTGACTTCCGAGCACTGTTTTGAGCACTGTCAGAGCACTGTCCGAGCACTGTGGACCTCTGTGTACTTCCCCCGCAACATCCCTTGTCAATATTACTGAATCGAGACTGTAGTAATGAAACGAGACTGTTGATGGACAAAATCCTGCACCACCTTGCGCACACTTTTCTTGCTGCCCTCGTTCCCCCAAACAAACATTGGGGGCCACCAGAGTGAGAAAACAAAAACAAGTTGAAGGTCCAAAATCCTGCACCACCTCCTCCGAGGGGTCGCGCCAAC